CAAAACAAATACTCAATATGTTCATGGACAAAACTTTATTTTATTTTAGTAAAAGTACTTCACTAAAAAATAGGACTTTTTGTATGTGAAAGACTTGTAATATTAACTGAAAGACTGACAAATTTCGTGAAGATATACCCAATATATTGAGAGTTATAAGTATTAAATTTATGTCAACTTTAAACGAGTACAGAAGGTCACGTGACTCGGTCAAATTGACCGACCCAGTGTTGGAAGAGTTAAACTATTTCAGCTTAAAAAATCATTTTATTTTAAAAACAAAGATTAATAAATTACTATCAATACAAATTCTTTAGTTCAAGAAACTGCAAACACATCTATTGCAGCCAGAAATATTTTTCTTTTGAGAAACACCTTTATGAAAGTTGTAGTTATATTAAACTCTGGGAAACAGGGTGTACAACATGTAGTATGTCTACACTGATTAATATCAAAAAAAAGAAGCCATTCATAAGCTGTCACAAGGAATCATATTACTGCAACTGTTACATTTAATACACTGAATGTTCTCAGTAATACTGCTATGTTTTATAATTGGTTACATTATCAAAATTACAACAAAACAAAGCAACTGGTCAAAATTAAAATTTTAAAAGTAATTACCATACAAGAAGTATAACTTACTATAGGTTTAAGTTTAATACATCCATATTAGATATTAACAATATCACATCTAATATTTAGCTGGAATAAAAATGTAAAGAAATTGAAATAAACGTGAAGTGGAGGAAATTTCCCCAAAACTTCTGGTGTTGGAACTATGTGATAATTTAATATCAAACTAGTTAATATTACAAAACCATAAACTCAGTGTTTAAAAATATTATTTTTAGCTAGGGGACATAATTAGTATTTATCTGGAAAGTTTGATGATCAATACTTAATGTTTCTCGAGTCCAGTGATCAGTAATTGATTCTTTCTCAAGTCCAGTGATCAGTACTTTACGCTTTTCTTAAAAATTCCAGTGATCTGTACGTGATGCATTCTCTACATGTGTTCTTCTGTAGTCAAGCAATATTGTCCAGCAGTTAGAAAGTTCAACTGTTGAAGAACCAACTGATAGTAAACAGTTGAATTAGCCCACCAACATATTCTGGTTAATAGTGCACAAGATATAAAATCATTTTGAAAACAAAAAAAAAAACTGTCACAATTATGTAATAATATGCACTCTTATTTTTTGAAAGAATAAAATGCATATTAATTAGCAGTTCACAGTAATAAAAATAGTACAAATGTTATTTTAAGAATAATTTTCAACAGCATGTCGACAAGTTTAATAGTTTCATATGGCTGCTTCTGCTTTCCGTCTAGTATTGGACTCTATGCAAAGTTGTTCCATCAGTACAGTTCAAAACATTTTCTCCAAAACTAGACACTGATACTTTTGCCTTATCTCCAAAAACATAGAGAAAGCAGAAGCATCCATTACAAAACTATTCAACTGATACAAATGTTTTATAGTAATTTTCTATTTGTCATTTCTTAATAATTTGTACAAGTATTAACATTAAAAATTTTTTTGAAGTATTTTAAGTTAAGTAATATAACTTTAAAAGCAAGATATTGTAAAACACAAAAACAAGACTGGAATTTTTTTACACCATATCCTGTTGCACTATCTAAAACCTTACAAACAATATGGAAACTTCCATAACAAGCATACATTTATATATATATATATGCAACAACTGGTCCAGACAGACAAATACAACAACAATAAAACATATTATATAAGACAATCTTGTTTCTTTCAACAATTTTATACTATTAATCTTTCACAACTAATAGCCAAGTTTCTTGTAAAATCCATGTTTTTTTTTCCCTCAGTTTCTCAGAACTTGTTAATACTTTTATATCAAGGTATGGCTGATCCCAGAGTTAAGAAAAAAGATGAAACTCACAAAAAATAAAGATCTGAGATTGGAATGATTTTTTTCTATAAGAAGAGAGACTGGAAGCACCAGAGTTTACCAGAAGATATTCCATCATGTCTAAAATTTATCCTCACATGGCTGCATAATCTATCTGTACATACAGTTGTCGAACCCCCACCTGTGGAAAAGTAATCAACATTATTACCTTTTACATTTTATTGCAGTGGATCACCATATTTTAATTTTATAATACAAAAACTTTTAATATAGAATGTTCGAACTGAACTACATGTTTCTGCATACTATCACTCACAGACAACCTGGAAACCACACATAAAATTTCTTATTATAAAGACAGGAATCAAACCATAAATTATACTTACTAGGCAGATGCTTTATTCAACTAAACTACTGTACCTCGAATTGCTGTCATTAATTACTGGGAACATAATTCTATGGGACTCTTGTGCTAAGCCAACAGGTTTAAAAAACTTTAAACTCATTTATTTTTTTATTATTTTTTTTTTTGAGGAAAGAGGCAATTTTGAGTGTTTTATCTGTAGGGATTTTGAAAGTGACATAATCATATGATTTTAGATATATTATCAGATGAGACTGAACAAAATTCAAACCCACAACTCTTTTTACCAGGCAGATGTATTAGCCAATTAGCTACCAATGAATGGTATAGGTCTAAGACTTTGGGTATTACAATAGAATCCGTACTGTAGTGCAGTCTAAGTATATAAGAAGTCATGGATCAAGTCTCAAATTTTGATGCCACTTTGTACAATAATAATTTACAAGTTCTTTAAATGAGAAGGTTTTGAGTATATTTGTTACAGTACTATTATGAAAAAAGGCAGTGTGAACAGGGCTTACATATCTCATGGATGCATGTTTCATATACATACATACATAAGGTATCACTTTTTCATACAATATTAGGTATATATATTAATATCCTTTGCACAGTATGATGTAATTAAATGTATAAGAAAAGTTCATAAAATATTTAACTTAAAATTATTCTTGTTTTTTTTATTTCTTTGTCCAAAAAAATTTCAGCACAAAATGTATATCTGAATTTGTTGAATTTCATGCAAAGCTACATGAGAGCTATCTACACTAGCCATTGCACCTTGGACATAATAGACTAGAGGAAGGGCAGATGGTCAACATCACCCACCATAAACTATTGGCCTAACGTTTGTCAAACCAAGTGTTTGGATTTTACAATCATTCTTATAATGCACGGGATGAGAACCATGGAAATTTGACAACATAGTCCAGCACACTAATCACTGGGAAGGTCTCCACCACATTTATTCAGTAACAGCTGTAAATATCTTCAACTAAATTTACTGAGAATAAAATTAGATGCCAAAGTATATTAACTTACTTAAACACAAAATATGTTTTCTTTATAGGAACAACCTTCAAGTTCTAGAGATAAAACGTCTCATATAAACTGGTTTTCAAGAAACACACACCATTCTTTATTATTGTATGGAATACTTTTAACTCAGTTAATAGTTTTGTGTACAATTGAGCAATAACATGCATGTTAGAACAAAATAATTTACTTAGTGGTGTAATTTACTGCATCAATAATCCAACTTGATGCTAAATATTTACAAAAGTGTACTTGATAAAGTAAATTATTCACAGCACTTGAAATATCTTAATAGCAACAGGAAGCAAGAAAATTCAAAATGTTTATTGTTTTGAACTTAACAAAAAAGGATACTTCCTATTTACCTGGGTGAAGATATTGTGAGTATGACTAAGAATGTACTTTGCATCTGCATTGGTGGCTACCTCCAATTTCAAAGTTCCAATAAAAACATCACTGCACAAGGTCCAAAAGTGAGGCTCTTGTACACTGTACACACCCTCTAACTGCATTACCTGTATATCAACATAAAATTATCCAAGACTTAAAATGAGAGTTCCATACACCATACTCTATAATTTATAACAATCTCAATATCAATATATTTCTATTTTTCCTTATTCTCTTCTTTTGCATTAAAAAAACTTTTACTTCAAAAAATGTTTATTTATATTCATAAATGAATGTTCTGCATGATTCAAGACCTTTGGATCAACTCAACAACTGGTGGATAAGACTGAATAAGTGATCAAAATCAGTCCAATAGTTTAACAATTCTAATTAGCTGCTCAATCAGTCATCTCTATGTAGTTACCATGAGATTTTCACTGGAATATAAGTGGTAAATTATTTCTATCTAAACTTTAACTATTTGTTCAGGTGAGTAAATGAAAATTTGATTTTAACAACATTTTACTTCCTGTTGTAAATGCTTATACTCACAATGATAAAAAAGATTTATAATAATAATAATAAAAAAATTAAAACAAAGAATGAAAATTGTTTTTACGAGACAACTTTTACCATCATTTTTCTGAATAGTAGATTTGTTATGAATAGCTATACAGATGTGTAAAAATATTATATCTGGAATCTATTAATATGGAACACACTACTCAAATAAAATTAAAAAATCAAATATATTAATGGTGTACTATTGAAAAAAGTTTTATTTATAAACATCTTTATGCATTAACATGTCACTACATAAATGAAGCCTGCTTCTGTACATACAATTCAGTGATGGTCTTTACTGATCAATGTACATGTTTAAATACATTAATATTGTGAGTTTTATTTCTTAGTTTGGAAAATTAAATGTATATACAGACAATGCTCCAATCATTAATAATCATTATGCACTTGAACATTTCTGCTAAAAATTTAATATACTTATTTTAAAGTTGTGGGTTTTATTTTACTTAAATTATACCATTTTGTTAGAAATTATTTTTTTCCCCCCATCACTGTTATCAGAACATTAATAATATTTGTGACAATACATGTTCCTAAATGTCATTTTGAAGATTCACAAAAATACTGTTTAACATCTAAATTAACTAAAACAAGTTGTTGTTTTTGAAGTTAAGCACAAAGCTACACAATGGGCTATCTGTGCTCTGCCCACCACGGGTATCGAAACCCGGACTCTAGCATTGTAAGTCTGCATACATGTCACTGTGCTACTAGGGGCTACTAAGACAAGAGAGTAACGTTTATCATTTTTATGGTTTAATGTTACCTAAACATTACATTTGTAATGTATCTCATTGTTCATTACTGAAATGTCAAAATTTCAAAATAAACAAAATTTATTTTTTACAAATATTAACATCCCGTGAGTAATAAATCACAAATAAAAAAGAAGACAAATTTTTTTAAGGACTAACATAAACCCATGTATTATACCAGTGATTCCCAACCTTCGTCTCCGGACCCCTGGGGGTCCGCGAAGATAATACCATCTCATTAATCAAGTAAGTTTTTAATTCTGCTGTTCTTTTAATAGCACACTCAGTTATATATGTATTTTATTTGATAGTGAAAAATGGAAAACAAGTTAATTATTAGTAAGAAAAACAGTTTGTTGGGTAGATGGAATCTTTCAAAAAACATGAGGGTCTTTGGTGGTGAAAAGATTGGGAACCACTGTATTATACAAACACAGCTCTTACTTAACCCTTTCCAGCCAAGTATTTCAAGTTTTTACAAGGGGAAAATGAAGAAACAAAGTTTTGAAACTTCTGTTTGATTTCTACCCCCTCAAAATTGTAACTAAATGTTCATATTTTATTTTCTAAAATTTGTTTTGGATAAAAATAACTTTAAAAAAATCAAAATGGCTAGCCCTAATTATCAGTTTTTACCCTGTTTTGATTATTTTAGATGGTGGAAATTGTTAAGTTTCTGATATGCACAGATACAGCTTGTTAATGTATGAAACCAAACTGAAAATGTAGATATTCAAAACGTTTGTTGCTTATTTTTAATTCTTAACTCAGTTTGAAAACAAATTTTTGGTGATGTCAAAAACTGTAAAATTCAACTATACTTTTGTTTTCAAATTCAATGACGAGGAACCCACTTTGAGACTAATAATGGCTGGAGACGGCTTGAATGGGTAATGAAGAAAAAACTTTAATATAAGTTTAACATAACAGCAAATGTACAACGTTTCGACAAGGCTTTGTTATCATCAGGTACCGTGAGCTCCATGTTCCCCAAGTGACTTACAACTTATAATGGCACAAAGAGTGGTTAGTCATGGTTCAAAGAGCAATAAAACAATAAAACTTAATTATAAATAGATGTATACTGTTACGAGTGTAAAGCTACTTAGGATAAACTAATGTAGTTTCATGTTACACTTTGAAATCATTCTACAAAGAAAAAGAGGGTAATTTAGATTTATTTCGATTTTATTTTTTTAGTGGTTACGAAGTTGGTCAAATTGACCAACCTTTTATAGAATTAGCATAGAGAAAATAACAGATAAAATATAAAGTTCTACTGAAAACAAACATTTGAAATGTATGTAGGAGGTTTTAGAGATTACACAAATGAAATTTGAGATGAAGAAAAGTATTTTTAATCTTAACATGAAAATCACTTTGCACACAGATTATTCAAAACAAATACTCAATATATTCATGGATAAATTTATTTTTAGTTTTTTAAAAATACTTCACTAAAAAAATGATTTTTTTATGTGTGAAAGACTTAAAGTTTATAGAGATTGCTAAATTTCGTGAAGGTATACACACTATATTAAAAGTTAGTAGCATGCAATCTATAAAGACTTTGAATGAATACAAAGAGGTGATGTGGTTGTTCAAATTGATCGAGCCCATATTGAGAGAGTTAAAGGCATTTAAATCTTTAATCTGAGGAAAGAAAAATTACTGCTCACATATACCTGAAAGAATAGCTTGTTTCATGCATGAGATCTGAATTTCAACAAACAACATTTGCCTAACAATTAGTACTTTGAAAATATTATTGGTGATATATGGTCAGGCATTATCTGATTGAGTTTCATAGTGAAATCTATTACTGAAATATCACTTACTTTTTGATAACAAGATGGGAGTAATTTGTCCAGCTCAAAGGGAGTTCTTTGCATCAGAACACAAATAGAATTTTTCAACAGAGGTAAAACACTGAAAAATTCAACAGAAAAATAATGTAAAATAGATCACTCATTATTAAATATAAGCTTAGTTTTTAAAGAAATTAAACTAAATATCATATCAGATCCTCTTAAGTTTTAATACAGCCTCCAAGTTTCCTTTGACTATGTCATACAACCTGAACAATTGGAATTAGTATTAGAAAACCACATGATTGATAATACAGCAAGATCCAAAATTAGTTAGCTAACATAGGAAAGTTTCCTATTCAATATGCATACACACAAATATGCATAATATAAACACATATACACATTTACATATATATATATAGGATTATTTTTTAGATTAATGAACTCACATTTATTTTAAAAAAAAAATTATCCAGTTACTTCTTAATATTTATTTACAAATTCTACTCTTCTTTAAAACACACTTCCCAATTTTCTATTTAAAAAACAAAACAATTTGAACAAAACTGAAGCATGAAATACACACACACCTATTCAATGAAAATTCCCAAAGATGTCCATTTATTTATAAAACTTTTTTTTACTATTGGTAATTCATATTGCATTTGTACTTTAAATATCAAAGTGTTATGTAGCTCGTCTGATAACATATTGAGCATAAAACCTGTTATACTTGCCTAAAACCAATCAATGTAGCTATAAACATTGAACAGATAGGATCAGCAATCATCCACCCAAACTGATTCATCAGAATAGCTGACATAATGACTCCCACACTGCCCAAGGTATCGGCAAGAATATGAAGAAATACACCTACAATAAACAGAACATTTTGAATCAAGAATTCCTCTGCTAAGTATTGTGAATAAAAGAAAAAGATTTGAACAAAAATTGTAAAAATTTTCAGATTAAGTATTACAATTATAAGCCACCTTATAACAATTAGAAAAATACTCACACAATAAACAAAGGACATTTGAGACTAATAATCTAAAAATGCCAGTTTGTGGGTAAGGAACAGATGCTTTTATACAAAAGATCAGTTTACAATTTAATTTATATGAGCATTCCTATCAGATAAACATAAAAAATAACCATATTCACACAGTTTTATTCAATACTTAATTATAAAATTGATAAATATAGTAATTAAAATAAACTAGATAATATTCAGATGTCACATAACTCCTTAACATTAATGATTTAATTTCATGTAGGATTACCAATTACATGGGCATATACACTCCAAGAACCCTACCTTCCATAATCTGACTTTGTGGGGCTGCAGTTGACTTGTGTTCATCCTGATGCTTATCATCCTCCAATCCTAAACAATGTGAAAAGACCACCATTCATTGTTCATTATATACTTCAAAAAGCAGAAAAATTTCGTGATCTAGAACAGTGCTTCTCAACCTTTTCCAATATCATTCACCACTGTAAGTTTTTCACAACAGCTCACTCACCACAGTTCAAAAAAAGACAAAAAAAATACTAAATTAAAATGCAATATTCTTTATTATGACTTAAATATACATCAAACTATAACTAGAATAAATAATAATAATTAATGACTTTTTTACTCTTGAATTTGTTGTATAATTGATAACACTCATTCAACCCTGGGTGAACCATTCACCCAGTTGAGAAGCACTAAGCTAGAAGAATAAATACCTTACTTCTGCATGACCAATATTAGTATATTTGAAACAGAAATGTATATAAAACACAGACATTCACAAAGGTGCACGTTATCATCAAAGTATTCTACATGTATGGTTGTTTGACAAAAAATTATATCATACACTAATAAAATACTTGCCAAAACCATGACTATGTCCATGTCCATGACTATGTGAATGTGAGTGATCATGTGTATGTCCTCCTAAGATGAAATAAAAAATGTTATCATTAATTTGAACAGCTATAAAATTTGAAATTCTTGTGTTTAATACAGAATATGTTGTTTTACAATGAAAGCATTAGTGCATGACAATTTAAATCAAAACATTGTATAAAAATAATTTTTCATGAAGAGTAGTTCCATATTTTATAATCAATAGGTCAAACATCTGCTCTTAATCTATATTAAAACAATTATAAAAAAAAAACATAACTAAATCATAAAATACTAGAAAAACATTTTGCTTATAGCTGAATATCTCTGTACGGTTATACTTACTTCAGAGACAGCCCAGCCAGTGTGATGTTACTATAAATAAAATCTTGGCCACAGTTTCTAATAAAACTTTCAATTAAATATCAACTTTTTATAAAACACACATTATCCCAAAATCTCAAATCTTGAGATGTTAGGCTTCACAAGTATGCAGGTGCTTGTAACTCAACACAACACTATTAAGTTCCAACAGATCCTCACTTTTAACAGAAATTTTGAAGTTGCAGTGTAGTGGCATTACAAGTACATAAGAAAAAAAAACTTTTAAATCACATGTATACTGTAAAATATGTAAATAAAACATTTTTACATTTTTTGTGATGAAATAAATTGATACTATAAGCAACATTTTAGTTGGTACCCAAATTATTTTTTACCTATTTAATTTTACTTGTCATATAATTTTTGTAGCATGATAAAATATTTTTTTAGCTATAATATGGTGCTAAGTTGGTTGAAAAAAAAAAAGACTACTTCTCACTCATAACAGCATTTTGTTACAATTATCATTTACTGTACGGAAGAAAAAAAAAAGAGAATTATCTAGAGTTGATGTCAATGTTTTAGAACAAAGTTACTCAATGGGTTATCTCCACTCTGTCCACCGCAGGAATAAGACCCTTGATTTTAGCATTGTAAGTCTATAAACTTACCACTGAACAACCAGGGAACAACTTATCAGTACATTAGTGGTTACACATCTTAATAAATGAAACTTGCTCATAATTTTGATCTTCAAATATTAACTTCATATTTCAGTACAAAAGATGATGCCATTTACAAAATTTCAAGATAAGGGTCTAGATGATAAATCATTCTTCTACGGTGATGGATGGGTGCTATACTGTAAATATCTGTTCTTATTTACATACTATACCTATGAATCCTAGCGTTATTTCACCAGATCCAAAATGTTTTTTTATTCAGTATCATTACTTTACAGCCAATATTTCACATGTTTGGGGCAAAAATCAGTAAAACTACATCACATTCTGCAGTAAACCAAACTGTTACTACTAACTTATGAACATAAATTATTATAAATTAAGCTTTTAAAACCCTTAAAAAAATATACACACACACACATATATATGCATGTGAGATCCCTGATTAAACCAAAATAATATCCAGGGTCAAACTTAATACAGAAATCTTGGAATATACCAGATTTATGAATTTGGCCTATTTAGCAGTCAGTGCAATATTCTGTGATTTTTGCAAAACTATTATATCTTAAAAACCCAGTATTCATAGAGCTTAATCATTGAAAAAAATGGTTGCATAGAATGAATCTCTTTTTGATAATGTATTTGATATAAAATTGATATAAAAATAACATGAAATGATGCTAGTGTCCTAATCATACTTTTAATACTATTACCTATGTCAATAAAGGTAAACAGATACAGAACAACATTACAAGAAAACTAAGCAAGTCAGTGTTGCATGTTAGTATAATGTTCAAATACACAATTTGAATGTTAAACCTTAAACTGGCAGCAGAAAACATGACTTTCTTAACTGTACAAAAGATTACAAATTTAAGAGTCTGTATTGTAAATTATAAGTCTTAAGTTCACAGACTCGTTAAATTTGGATCCTGAATATAATGTAGCAGGACTGCTGTAAGTTACAATGATTTTGTTAAGAGAACCATAAATCATCATTTGAAATAAATTTTGTAAAATGGTAGACTACTCAGAGTTACATTTCTAAGAAGGATGCAGTTAACTGATTTATTTTGTTATCCAAGTGAGTAGTAAATATCTAATTGTTGAATATAGTGGACACTTTTCTTTAAAAACTGCTAACATATATATATACATAACTGACCTGGCTCACAGCAGAAAGCAGTGCTATGAAGATATCAGTATAAGAACATTGTTAGCTAGTCAGTTTATTGTATCAATGTGAGCTATTTAGTACATCACTCATGTATTTTGTAAGTATATTTGTCTATTATTCACATTTTAAAAAACATCTCATAACAGCTTAAACATTGCTATAAATACCTCCATGAGAATGTCCATGTCCGTGTCCATGTTGAAAGGCAAATATCCCTATCAGATTCACAAAAAACCCAAGAACAGACACCAAAAATAATCTTTCATGCTTGACTTCTGGTGGCTCAATAGCTCTCTGAAATGCATATTTTACATAATCATAGTCACTTATGGGAAGAAAAAACTACTTAATATTACATTCTTATTTTACAATGTATATATTACCATTAAATTATACAGGAAACAAAATATCAATTTTGAAATAAGAGTATATTTTTTGTAGATGATAATATTTAAGTTTACAATTATTCAAAACATTTCACAAATGTAATTGTATTTCTATAAAAAAAACCAAAAACTTTCACATGTGAACCATGAAAAGAAAGATTGTTTCTTATTGAAGTTTTACCTCAACAGCTTCTGAGAATATGAAAAATGCAATAAACAACAGGAAAAGCCCATTAACAAATCCTGCAAGAACTTCAGCACGAACATACCTGAAATTGAGAACAGCAAGTCAAAACTAAGGCACAAACTGTTATTAAAAAATCAAATCATGCAGACAATGGTTAAGTCTTGAAAAATCATATCATGAATCACATGAAGTCATGATAGAAAATAATGTAAACAAAATGCTATCGAGTCAGCCACATAAAAGAATCAATGAATTTTTGTATCACTTATGTTCCAGTAATGAGTACACAAGACTATTAGTTGATTAAATTGAACAACCATAAGTTCCTTACATAAAAAATACTTATTATATAATTACATAAAATTATACGAGTCCTTAAATTGAATCTTATGCAACAGCAAATTTGTCAACTTTAGTGTTAGGAATTGGTTGAAATATTAAGTTCAATGACTGGTTCATTTGAACCAATTGATCACTGATTGTAATTGGTTGGTGGCATGTTCTTTACTTGTCAGCAAGTTGAAATAAATACATTGTAAGTTCTGTTTGTATTGATTTTTTTTTTATCTCTGTATATTTTTACTGTTCAAAAAACATGTGCATCAAAAAAACAGAAAAACTCATGGCTTCAATTTTGTGCACAAATAATTTAATGAAATCAGCTTTTATTTTGTACAATATGATTTTAAAACAAAAACTTGTCCTAGTTTTGTAGCTTTTATTTTAAACACAACAAACTCCAAGAATTGTTTCAGGCCTTTAATTATCTGATACATACTTAGTTTGGCTGGTTTAGAGACTGATAACCAATGGGAATGCCCATCTTAATTATGTTTGATTTACTACATAAACACTTAGTTTTCTTGTGACAAGATTAAGAAACAAGGACATAACAAAAGTATTAAACCAACATATTACTGAAAAATAAGATTGTAATTGGCTAAAATATAGTTCATTTTAGCAACATGTTACTAAAGGACAAATGATTTTGACATATCCACAGTACAGAAAGAGTTAAAATATCTAAATTGAAAGTTTCCTGGACATAATTCACATCAGCTGAAGTCCAGTTTCCAAGAAACAATTTAGCTACGAGTTTCCTCCTTGAAACTGGCTTTTATAAGGGCATATGACACGTGAACATTTCTTTTCCTTAATTTGTCAGAAATAATGGACTTAGTCTCTCAGAAAAAAAAAATAAAAACTTTAATGACTCAAACATAACCTCTACACTTCAGCCATTTGGTTTTTCATTTGTTGGAAAGAAGTTTGACACAAATCATAAGTATATTTACCTATATATTTTTTTATATCATGATTGCAGGCTTACTTCTAACAATTTAGCATGGATCTAGCAAAGTACATTATCTATTTTTTGTATGCTGTTTGAAAGGGTTACTAGAATGGTGCCTGGGATGGAGTGGTTGTCATACGAGGAGAGGTTCAAATCTCTCAAATTGTTTTCTCTTGAAAAAAGAAGAGTTGGGGGGGGGGATCTGATTTTGAGGTGTTTAAGATTGTAAGGGGAATTGATAGTTCATGCATCATCTTTTTTCATACTTAAGAGTGAGAATAACAGGATTAGAGGACACAAATATAAATTTTGGCAAGATACAAGTCGTCTTCAGCTAAGACAGTTTTATTTTTCTAACAAGGTGGTTGGCCTTTGGAATGGGATGCTTTCAGATGTTGTGAAAGCAGTAAATTTAAGTGAGTTTAAAAGAAAGCTTGATAAGTACATGAATGATAAGGACTGGCTTTAAGATTTTAAAAAAAATTTGTTTGTTAATAGTTTTAGTTTAGTACAAAAGATGGAACAACTGTGATGGACCAATAGGTCCCATGTTGTTCCAAGACGTTATGTTAAATTTTGTATTTTTTTACATACTGTTTCTTGATATTTGATTTGAAAATTTATTTATACAGCATCGATTATTTTATAATAAAACAATTTTGAATGGACAAATCAGTAAATCATGTGACAACCACAGCTGACATAAAATCACAGTGTAATACAATGTATGAGAACTATATTTTGATACTGTTATTTTGTAGGTAGTATGATGCCATCGAAATTTTAATGCTTTTTGGAAGGGTATGTTATACCCTTTCCGATGCAAAATATTCATACACTCAGATCATGCATTTAGAACATCCAAGATGGGGATATCCCAAATACTTAATGTTATTGGAAAGCAAAAAAATTTGGATGAAATTGTGAAGCCAGGGTCATCCAGAAAGAGACCTACAAGTTGTACCTCAGCTGTGGAAAGTGTGGTGTCTTGCCGCAGGTGAGAATCCATGAACACAACAATCAGTAGAAAAAGAGTACACATACCCCAGGCAGCAGTATGCAACAAAATCATGAAGGATCTCCATCTCGAAAACTGACACAAGCATGCACATAACTTGCTCCCACAACAGTTTAACCATTAAAATTTCTAGTAGTTGGAAAATGAAATAGGTATTCATGTTATTCATATGAAGATATAACAGTCAAGTCACCAAAGGCTGCAGCTATAAATTTCTGTGCAATCTAACTATGAAAGCGAGCACTCAAAAACATTGTCTTTTGTTCAACAGAAGAATTATGGAAAGTTGCATGGATGAGGGGTGTGCTTCAAACATAACAGCCTTATGACATAGTTTTATGCAATGAAAACTATGCTGCAGAGCTTTGTCAAGATGTTCAGTCATCAGATAGAGCATGCCCAGACATGGCAACATGGACTGATAGACTGTAATGATGTGATGAGACTTCAAAAATATTTTAATATAATGTACTTAATGTCTTTAGTTATTCACTCATTCAATTTAACAATAAATTTATTTGATTAATTTTATTTTCCATTTCTTCAGTTTAGTTTAACCAAGTTCAGCCAATATTTCAAATATGTCATCGACATCTAATGAACGAATACCATTTTCAGCCACAACTTCAAAAACCAGGTCCTTCAATTTCAGAGATAGCATACCATACCCAAAAGCTCCTAGAAAAAGAATATACTCCATAGAGTTATTCTGACTGAACAGACTAAGTCCCAGTTTGGTGACCTGTTTTCCAAGATCCCATCTTTGAGGAATACCCATATAAAATCTGTTCAAACCTATTTGGAAGTGTTTTTTTCATCATACTCCAAATGGTATCAACATTTTAAGTACAGAATTTTTATCTAATTATGTACTTAAAAAACACTGATTATTTGAATGTTTTAATTATTTATTTACACAGTCACCTTAAAGTTTTAGCTTTTTAATAATAGACCAAATGGGTTTTCCCAACAGAATTCTATATACAATTTCAGACTTGGAATAATACTTTTACTTAAGGAACAATACATGTAGCTCATTCTACTTTGATAAGCTATTTTGTTCATCTGTATCTCATATTTGGATATCTAGCCACCATAAATCCAATGATACCCATCCTCTTGCATAGGACCTTTTGGCAGAAAGTAACAATGATGTTGCTAACCTAATTGAAGATAGCATGCATGTGTAGATACAGAAAAGTGCAATAAACTCAAGTGACAAAGTTACAGCAGGCATCAAACAGCAACCATCTGTTAAATCAATGATGGTTACACCCACTGACTGGTACACTGTGTTAAACCTTGTTCCATATCTTGCTGATGGGCAAAATAATGATGTAGCATTTACTCATCACATAATCTGAAATGATATTTACAACAGCTGCATCTGAATACAACCACACAAGGTATCTGTTGTGGACAAGGATTTAGAGGTGCTTTGGATTATCTTCATGAACTAGATTTGAAAACCAAGATTATATTATTTCTACAAATGGATGTATCTGCAGATGAATCTGATCTTTCAAGACTTGTCACAAAGTGCACTGGGTGATAGAAGACAGAAGCAATGATTGGTTGTATAACACAGAGAAAACTACTAGACATGGTATTTACCAACTTGTAGATTAGTATTAGAGGGGGATTATGTGAGAATTATCATTGCTCTTTGCAACTGCTATCAGCCTGCCCTCAGAGAAAACCTGGTTCTTCTGTTACATAATGTATGCTTGAAATGGTGAAACAGATCATCATGATCCAACAGATTGCAGAGTCCAAAACCTGAGCATACAAAAGGTCAATAAAGATAAGACTCTAGCAGGTGATTTGACTTCAAATTTTCCACAGTTGTTTGAAGAAGGTCCGTGGTCATTGGTCGTTAATCCAAACAGTATGATACACACAAGAATATATATCTAAAGATGATCTGTATGAATCATAAATTAGTAAAGAAACAGAAGATCTCCTCTACATAAAGATTAAGTTCCCCATACTTCAAGTAAAATGTACTCTCTTTGGTTTCAGTATGAACAAGTGATCGAACTATACTAGCCTAGTATTGCTTGAGTATCAAACATGCAAGAGTAATGAGGTTCTGTGTACACACAGCATCACAAAAGGCACAAGAAACAAAGCCTCATATGACCAGCTTCTATACTAGAAGGTCAGAAATCATGTTAGAGTCATATAAAATGTGTACTGTGAACATATGGGTAACCAAATATTGCATACATGCCTCTTCCAATTAGCAGCACCAGACAAGGCAATAAAAACTATGTATACAGACTACCTACTCACTTTGATGCAGGCAGCCTTTACATGGTTCTGGCTAGCCTAAAGCTGGTCTTTCCAATACTCAGCTGACTATCTAGATAGATCATCAGTTACATGAGAAAATCTAACATATACAGTAAAGAAGTTCCACTGAAAGTGATTGTATCATGTGAATGGTATGGAATCCTGTCATTATGTCCAGCTGAGACAAGGATATAAAAAAAAATTATATTGTACAGGACAAATTTTCTGCATAAGGTATACAATACTTCGCCTTAACTCTCTTGCTATGGACTTGGTTGATTTGACCTAAATCTTAATCCAAAATTGACCTTTAAGATTTCCATACTATAACTTTTAACTGTTTTGAGTATCTTCAGAATATTTCAAAAGCTTTCAGTAATCATAACAAGCCTTTTAAAGAGAACATATCAGAATTTTTAAACAAGCATTTTCACTAAAAATGTATCCATGAATACATGAAGTCAAAGTGTTGGCTAATCTGAGTGTAAGGTGATTTTCATGTTATGATTAAAAATAATTTTCTTCATCTGAATAATTATCAAATTTCATTTGCATAATCTCTAAAACCTCCTAAATAAATTTCAAACATTTGTTTCAGTAAAACTATATTTTATCTGTTATTTGCTCTACCCCAACTCTATACAGGGTTGGCCAAATTAACTGACCTTTTAACCATCATAAAAAAAAATCTACGTTACCATTTTTTTATTTCTGGAATGACTTGAATTTGTAACAGGAAAGTAGACTTGTTTATCCTAAGTAGCTTAAAACTAGTAACAGTATAAATCTGTTTCTACTTACATTTTATCATTTTATTGCATTTTGAACTGTGTCTAACTAATAATCCCTCTATACAAGTTAACATAACATAATGTTTTGGGACAACATGGGACCTATTTGTCCATCTCAGCTGTTCCATCATCTAAACTAAATTAAAATAAGTTAATTAAAAAAATCTTAAACTTACTTAAATTTACTGCCTCCACAACATCTGAAAGCAACCCATTCCAAATGTCAACCACCCTATTAGAAAAATAGCTGAAGATGACTCCTACCCTGCCAAAATTTATATTTGTGTCTCTTAGTCCTACTGTTCTCACTGTTAAGTATGAAAAAAGATGATGCAT